CTTAGGATGTCATAATATTTCGTTAGTAGTGTTTTTCCTTTCAGTAAGTAATATAACATGGACTTTTTGAAATTCACAGAAATATCCTTAAAACCCTTCAAAGGAATTTAGTGGTTCATTTTGCCTTTACAATATCAAAAAAAGAGAAAACAGGTTTTAGCCAGGCTAAGTCACAAAACATTCCAGTGAATTATGTGGCACTTTTGGTACAACACTTACAGCTACTGAAATGTGCATATAGTATCCTGCCTGAGGAAAGTAGGAAAAGGTCTGGAATTCAGAATAGCAAAAATCACAGCCTTTGGTGTTTTTATGGAGTAGTATTATGTCAAAGATTAGAGTTAATGTAGTGCACCAGTAGCCAAAAAGAAATCTGAATTGGATTGAGTGTGAATAAATTATCTTGGAAAATGTCATTTCATATAAGAGTCCAGAAAAAGAAAAAAAGCAACTGAAATATGTGTGATAGTATCTTAAAAAAAAAAAAAATGGAAATCAATTTCTCACTGAGCCATGAAATCACACCTGTAAACATGGATCTTTTGACCATAAACTAGGGAATATAAAACAATACACACACACACACACACACACACACACACACACACACACACAATATATATATATGTATATAAATATATATATCTCCACTGTTCTTTCCACTGCACAACTAAGTCTCATTCTCTAAGAAATATGCCTTCTGATCCATAAAAAGATGTAGGACCTTTGTTTTTCTGTTTATATTGCTTAGATAATTGTGGTTCTCACATCTAGTGACAATTTCTTAACATTTCTCTTGATGGCAAAGTGCAGCTCTCTCCAGCTTTGTGCTTGTTTTAATCCCCAACACATTTACAGAAATTGAAATTTAGGTTATTTAAAATTTCACATACAGAATTTGAGGTTTTTCCCATCACTTCCCATCTCTCTTCTGAGTTTTTGAAATGTAACTTGATGAAACAGTCATTTCACTTCTGGATGGTATGTTATAAAGGGGGCATTGAAATCAAGACTGTGATTTCATTTTCATGGGGGAAAAGATCTTTTCCTCCCCAGAAAGCTCATTCTGAAAGTGCAGGACCAGGAACAGGCTTTTATTTACATGCTTTAGGTCAGGATTTTTGCTGTCCTGAGCCTCCTGTTTTGTTTTTTGTTTTTTGTTTTTTTTAAGATTTTATTTATTTATTTGACAGATAGAGATCACAAGCAGGCAGAGCAGCAGGCTGAGAGAAAGAGGAGGAAGTAGGCTCCCTGCTGAGCAGAGAGCCCAATGCGGGACTCGATCCCAGGACCCTGGGATCATGACCTGAGCCGAAGGCAGTGGCTTTAACCCACTGAGCCACCCAGGCACCCCTGAGCCTCCTGTTTTTTCATGGGCTTTCCATCAAGCAACAATTCCGGAGTCGCTGACGAGTGTGTCAGCTCAGGAACTGCTTCAGCCTTATCAGCACTTTGCACTCACTGTTACATTCATCTATCACAGTTTCAAAAAGCTAAACTTTAGTTTTGTCCTTCTATTAGTATCCCTGTATATCAAGTAATCCAGTACAGAGACTTGTCTAAAAATTGTATAATCTTCCTTGCTCTTTTAAAGTTTTAGTTAGAATTGTTTTATGTGCATGTTTTATATTCCATTGTAAATAATTAAATTTCATTTATTTAATGTATTTAAATTCTTAATATATTTAGTATATTTCAAATCCACCTATTCTTCCCAATTCACATAGGGTTTCACATTCTTTTAAAATCTGAGAAATTGGGGCTCCTGAGTGGCTCAGTCATTAAGTGTCTGCCTATAGCTCAGGTCATGATCCCAGGAAGTCATGATCCCAGGGTCCTGGGATCAAGCCCGGCATTGGGCTCCCTGCTCAGCACGAAGCCTGCTTCTCCCTCTCCCACCGGCCCTGCTTCTGTTCCCTCTCTCACTGTCCCTTTCCCTGTCAAATAAATAAACAAAATCTTAAAAAAAAAAAAAATCAAATCGGAGAACTTGAAAGAGGACAATACCTTTAATAGAAGAGCTTTTTCAGCACTAACTCTGATTCTTCTCACTCATTCTTTTGATAGTGTTGTTTACCTCACTTTATGGTTCCTGAATAGGTTCCTGAAATAGGTTCCTGAATGTAATGTCTCATGCCCAGTTCACATTTTAAATACAGTGTTAGTTAGAATATGTCTTCCTTTAAGGCGAGTCTCACGTTCTAACCCATCCTTACAGAGTTTACATTTATGACAGTTATCTGGATGAAAGAAAATAGATTTTAATAAATCTAATTTCTCATTATCTATCCTCCTCTCCCCCAACTTCTCCAGTACCTTCTGTGTTGTCCACCGATCTCTTCATTGTCGCCGACATCCTGCAGTTTGGAAGTCATGCTCACCACCATACCACCGACACGCACTATCCTGCGCTTTACGCATGAGAAATCAAATGCTATTTACTGTTGGGGCGTCTGGGTGGCTTAGTCAGTTAAGTGTCTGCCTTCTACTCGGGTCATGATTCTAGGGTCCCAGGATGGAGCCCCACCCCCACGTCAGTCTCCCTGCTCAGTGGGAGGAGTCTGCTTCTCCCTTGCTTGCTCTCTCTATGCGCCTCCCCTGGCTCACATACGTGCTCTCTCTCTCTCAAATAAGTAAATAAAATCTTTAAATCAACACAAAAAGATGCTATTTACTATCTAATTCTTTATTTGATGCCATCACTAATAAATGAGTAAATGAAAAAAACAAAATAAAAATTTTCCATCCTTTAGGCTGTTTCCTAATCTTGATGGAGTCACACAATTCAAAGTTCTCCTACTGTATGTGTGTGTGTGTGTGTGTGTTCATATCTTCATTTTAACCTATATTTTTGGTAAGCTACCTTCAAACATTCGTCTTAAGCAAAGCAATTATTGGTGGCAAACCTTGAACTCAACTCTAAAAAGCAATATTTATATATTTTTCCAAAAGTCTTAGGTAAGGACAAAGTGAGGAAATAAAGAATGTATACTGTCGAAATAGAATATAAATGCCACTTATTATCATTATGAAGCATTTACATTGCAGTCCTGGTAAAATTACAATGTGGAGCCCATTGACATTGATTCTGCACACTCTTACGAAAGCTGACATGGATTGGGAAGGACATGCTGTCATTCCAGATCAGAAAATTAGAATGAGATATGTAACATCATAATGATATTGGCTTATTGTAGTTTTAGTTATACGAGAAGAATATTACATTGTCCTTGTTATCTCATAATATAAGTCTATAAATTCTCTCCTATAATTCTAGTGAGTTAAAGCATCTCCAAATACCAAAATTAAATTCAAGCTTCAAGCAAGTAATTTGCACACTTAAAATTGTTAGATTTGAACACCAAGATCACTTCTCATTTTTCTCTAAAAAAAATTGCCATTTAAAGAATTCACAACACCCCCGTCTGCAGTTGTAGAAATGAATGCATATTATGCCCGTGTAGTTGGTCATTATCCAGTTAAAACACCAAGACTAATAAAATAGGAAGTATTTGAGAAAAATATTCTGGTCTATGAGATTCTTATATTTGCTTCATCTGTGAAGGGGCCTTAATAAAATACTAAATCTAATGAACCAGAAAGGAGCAAATTAAGAAATAAAAGCTTTGTGTATTATATCCTGAACCTAAATACTTGAGAAATTGTGATTAATAATCTGAACATCAAAAAGTGAGACAACTACTTGGTAACTGAAATGCCTATTAAACTGAGGTAGCATGCAAGCAATGTCTAATTTCCCAAATTGAAAACATTACCTAAATGTAATCACACTTGTTCATTCAATGCATGTTTAATTTACGTTTAAAGCATCATTGAAATCAGGTTAATTTACTCATAAAATGATTGGATCTAAAAAGATCAATTAAGATGAATATGCATGTTCTAGTACCTAGAATCCTCCATTAATTTTAATTTAATAGTAAATGTATGTAAATAAACAAGTGAGTTGAATATAAATGACATAGACTAATAAAATAGTTCAGTACATAAGTATGAAATTAGGAACTAACAGCAATAAAAAATTATATTCCAAACAATAGATTTTTCTGTAAATTTGTATCAGTAGGAGGATACTAAATCAGTATCGTTTCCAGTGACTTTGTTCTTACCAATCTATCTTAAGATGATCTTTTATTTTTTAAAGTAATTCCCTCATCTTCAACTGTATCTTTACGGCAGTGTATCTTTACATTTTGCAATGAATATATTCCTGTCTTGTGGTTTACTGCTTCATGGTATTAAAGGTAATAGAATTAAGAAAAGAGCATTTTCATAATAAACTCTATATTTAATCCATTTCTAAATTCTTCCTTTGGAACTTGAATTGCTTAGATTCATCTTGATCATTAATATCTCGGTTCTTTCCCCCTCAGTGAATTCACTTACAAACGGGAAAAAAAATTACACTCGTCGGGGTTCAATATGATATTTTATTGACATTAATATTATTAATTCACATTAACTTTGATGTCGGTACTTACTAACTTTAAGAATAGAATACATGACAAATGAAAAGCATTTTTCTAAGAAAGTGATATTTCATAGTTTTGACAGCATCTCCACGATGAGCAAAATTGACAGTGAATGATACATTTGAATATCCTCGGTCCAGTTTTAGGACCTCAAAAATACAGCCTTTGATTTTCAAGGTTCTCTGCTAAAAACTGCATATATTTATGACACATTTTGTAAAAAATTTCCAAAAATTGCAGGTATATCCTCTAACAGATGTCACCTTTTAAGTAACATTTCCAGTTTTTATTCCTCTTGGATTAGGAATTTGCAATTGTGTTTCTATATAACTGAATAATGATTAAGTCTGTTTCCACTGTGGAAGGAGAAAAGAACTCTTATTATTTAATAAAATGGTATCATTGTTATTATTGGCATTATTATTAGTTGTTAAGTGTGATGCACCATGCTTAGAAAGTGTACCAGCACTAATCCTTGTGTATTTTGGGTTCTCTTTGCACTTTCAGAGACAAGGAAATAGCATGGCATGAAACATGGCTCAGTTCTACTACAAAAGGAACGTGAATGCTCCCTACAGAGATCGGATCCCTCTAAGGATAGTCCGAGCGGAATCAGAACTCTCACCGTCAGAAAAAGCCTACTTAAATGCTGTGGAAAAGGGAGATTATGCAAGTGTCAAGAAATCCCTGGAGGAAGCTGAAATTTATTTTAAAATCAATATTAATTGCATCGATCCTCTTGGAAGAACTGCTCTCCTCATTGCAATTGAAAATGAGAACTTGGAGCTCATTGAACTACTTTTAAGCTTTAATGTCTATGTTGGAGATGCCCTATTACACGCTATCAGGAAGGAAGTTGTCGGAGCTGTTGAGCTGTTACTGAACCACAAAAAGCCCAGTGGCGAAAAACAGGTACGTGCCAAAGCACCGTTTTTGATAGATTTTCCTGGCAGAAGGTTTCTGTGGATATTCAGATTCTCTCTAAATTTTAAGAATTAGAAGCACGGAAATCAGAACTATTATTGATAGAGAACTAGTGGTAAGTACACGCTTCACACCTGCCGACAGTCACCGGCACCTGCCTGTCATGCTCTGGTAAACCAGCCCCAGTGAGAACTAAAGCAGAACAAAGGAGCCCATGGCGGCTTCCCATTCACTGGAAACATTCCTATGTAATGCCCAGCCTAGAATGTTGTCTGAGGCTCACTCTGCATGTGTGGGTATTTTTCCTCTTGCCTTCTCATTTCCAACACTCTGCCGCAGCAGGCTGAATCCGTTTGCTATTTTCCTGTTTCATCTGCTTGCCTCTTCTGGAATTCTGCGTCTTACTGCAAGTAGATATGAATTGTATCATCTAATTTTGTTATTGTTCATTAGCAAACTCCAGTGGATTCTTTTAAATTGAGGCAGATAAAAAAAAGGATTATTGGAAAATACCTAACCCCTGACTATAGGTTTAACTGCATGCCAAAATGTTGCTATATATTAGAGTCATCACTAAATGAAAATATGCTAAAATGGTACACAATTCTACAATGTGTGGGTTTTTTTCTCCTGTCTTCCTATTTTTGTTGATGTTGTTTGACTTTTTTTTTTTTTTTTAATCACTAAGGAAGTGGAGAAATCATAAACAAGAACGAAAAAGGAATCTGTTCTTGTCTGCCTAGACCCTTCTGTTTGTGACTGCCCTGTATCTGAATTGTCTACTGGATCCTTTTTTCTCTCACACTGAACCCTTCACTTCCCTGCTTCAGGTCCTATTGACTAATTGCAAAGACATTGCACATACTGCAAAAATGTGCCTTTTAGAATAAAATCTTCAAATGTGTGTGATTTCACTGTAGCCATTTCTGCTGCATTGGGTAATGCACAGTCTGTGCAGACTGTTAGGAGATGCTGCATTCTTTTAAAGCCAGCTCTGCTGTAACTCCTGTTATCTCTCCTTTCCTGGAGGACTTTTATCAGAATCCTTGCCATTATTAGCAGAGCAACTTCATGGCTGGGTGTCTCCTGGGGGTGGGGGGGGAAGAATTCTTGCTGCATTCTCAGAAGCCTGTGTCTATGGTCCTTGTTTATGCCTGCCCACCATTCACCCCTTCCCCTTACCTGACCCCACGCTTTCAGAAAGCAACAGTCCACAAGGACAACATCTTTGCTTGTTGCTTTACTAGCTTTTTGTGGTTGGTTTCATATCCCATTGTTTGTGTGTTACTTTCCCATCACATCGCTAAAATTTTACTGGCAGAAAATTCACCTGTTGCATCTGTCCTTTGAAGCTTGTACAAACCTTGACAGGGGTGGCCAGGTCATGGTAATAGATAAAGATATATGTTATAGCCCAGGCTTTTACCGCAAAGGGAACTGAAGACACAGATAGGAATGAGTAGGAGTCTGTTACCTTCTGTGTAAGTTTAATTGCTGCTTCTTTTGTCACCTTGTGATTTTGAAATTTCTTCTAGTTGTACCCCATGGTTTCTAACAACAACGACCTTGTATTGTGCACCCTCTTGTCTTATGTCCACATAGGGGACTGTAAGGCCGATGTTGTGACTGCGGTCTAGATCATTTTAGATTGCACTGAATCTAAAGGACAAAACTGTCATTAAGTGGACTTTTTACATTTATTCCTAAATAACTTTAGCTCTGTTTTGTAGAGAACACTGGCCATACATTTCAATGTCTCTTTAGCAAATGACATTTGTGCTGGCCAGAGTAATTTGGTGTCTGGAGAAGATAATCTGCTATTATAAGAGTGTTTGTTGGAAGATATTCAACTTCTGAGCTAAACTCTAGTCTCACAAGTAGGTCCTGGCTCCTTACGGCACTTGATCTGAACCCTGATTATTAACAAAAGGCAGTAAAGGTTTGCAGTCTGCCAGGAGTCAGAAATATTCCAGGCCATGTGTTTCTGGAAGATTTCTCTTGTATCTATTTGCTGGCCAAGAATTTTCCTTTTGTATTTGTACATTCTAGAATTCCTCTTCGGTGAAGGCACTAAGAATAAACAACAAAAAAAATTATCTTTTTATTTGAATTTGGTAATTTTGAAAGAACAAAACCAATGGTACATTATTGTTAGAACATAACATGTATACAATGTAGCATACAAAAGATGCTCTCTGGGCTGGGGATGGGAGATACAGTAAATCCCATTAGAGCTTGGCCGTTTATCTGTGATTTACTTAGATAATACATCTCTTAGGTACAGCCAATACCTTTTGGAGTAAGTTTCCATAAATCTGTTTTGTATGTAGCAAATATGTTCTTGACAGGAATTTTTTTCTCTTGTAAATTATAATTTCTTAGATGATTCCTGTGATTGTTGTAAGCCATTTTGTGTATTATTATAATTTGCAGAATTTCTAGTCTCATGGGCATCCCCCAAAGACTGTGGGACACATTGCCGTTAATTCTATTGAGATGACTAAAGCCAAGTGTTTATACCTAGAAACAATAATATCCAAGTGGATGAAATAAACGTAACTTGTCCAGAAATGAGTCAAGAATAAGGATATAATATAAAAATTATACAAATCTGATTATTAGAACACTTATTTAAGAACCTAAAATGTGGGCACCTCGGTGGCTCAGTCGGTTAAGTATCTGCCTTTGGCTTAAGTTATAATACCAGGGTCCTGGGATTGAGTCCCACATTGTGCTGGGTGTCAGGCACCCTGCTCAGCGGGGTATCTGCTTCTCTCTCTGCCTTCCCCCTACCCATGCCAACTCTCTCTCTCCTTCTCTCTCACATCCAAAAGTAAATAAATAAAAAAAAATTTTTTTAAAGAACTTAAAAAGTGAGAAATGTGGATCAGGAAATACACTCTTCTATAAGTTCGTCACACATTCCTTTCTTTGTCTGGAAGAAGACACAGTGTGCATGGTATCCTGAAGTCATAGGAGCTGTGTGTTTCAGATTGGTTTGTGTACATTCTCCAGAGAACAGGTTACTATTTGCATATGCTTATTGTGCCTGGCCTTGTGCTGAATGCTAGGGAGTAGACATTGTTCCTACTCTTTGGAGTCTGAAGGTCTAGTTGTGAAGAGAGGAAAAATATCATGGGGATATGAGTAAGAGTGATTACAATGGAAAAGATGAAGGAGAAATAAATTCGTAGGTCTTGACTGTATTTGGTATATACAAACTGTTAGTAAGTAGAGGACATGAAGAGGTAGGAGAAGGGCCTAAAGAAGAAGGAGGAAGGCTGTTGACGGGTGTATACCTTGAAAAAGTTAATTCCATTCACTAGCATAGAGACTATAGACATGGTCATAGGACCTGATTGGATATACTGTTTTTTATTTTGTTGAAATTAACATCTAGAAAGCAATTTGAAATTTTGGACTTAAGAAAGGAGTCTGGGATTGATACCTGGATGATAGTGAGGACTTTGAAGCCTCCTGTCTTCCTATCACTCTTACATTGATTTTCTTTTCTTGCTTTTATAAATTGTTTAAGTGTTTGTGATTATTAGCCTATTAAAAGATTTCTCAGTGCAGCATCTAACAAAGGTATTTCAGTTTTGCCAGATAAATAGATGGGCATAGATCATTAATTATTTCCTTCCATATTTAATGCAGACCAACATAAATCAGAGTATTGAGTTCTAGTGATTTATTTTTAATTTACTGTCAACAAATGGAAAGAGTAATACTTAACTTCTTTCATATAGTAGACAGCATAAAGAATGTGTGATTCGGAGTGCCTGGGTGGCTCAGTAGGTTAAAGCCTCTGTCTTCGGCTCAGGTCATGATCCCAGAGTCCTGGGATCAAGCCCTGCATTGGGCTCTCTGCTCAGAGGGGAGCCTGCTTCCCTTCCTCTCTCTCTGCCTGCCTCTCTGCTTACTTATGATCTCTGTCAAATAAATAAATAAAATCTTAAAAAAAAAAAGAACATAGAGAAAATTTATATATATATAAAAAAAAGAACGTGTGATTCTCTGCATTAAGCAGGAAGACGGAACATCACATATCTTACCGGGACTGCTCCCTTGCTACAATCATTACTCTGATATTCTCTGATAATTTTATTATACTTTTCTTTCACCTTCTGAGTACCTTATTTCTCTACAGGGGATAACTGAGAGTGGCTTCTTAGCCCCAGTTTCGAGCCAATTGATTGGTTACTTGACTTTTAATTATTTCTAGCAGACCTTTCTCCTTGACGTCATCTCAGGCCAGATTCAAGGCCACATTCAATTTCAGCTTCAGCTGCTTCAGTGCATGTTTATCAGAAACAGAGCTTTCTTCTTCCTTTTTCCACTTAGAAAGTGGTTCTCAGCCTTCAGCACCATTAGAATCCCTGGGAGGGTTTAATAAAACACAGATTGCTGGATCCTGCCCCATGTGTCTCTGATCCAGCAGGTCTGGAATGAGACCCCGGAACTAACGGTTCCATAGGAATGCTGCTGGTCTGGAGATAGCACTTTAAGAACCACTGACTTAAGAGGAAGTTGGAAGTTATAGAATGCCTGTGATTGTATATTTTATGTTAGGTGTATTGAACTATACTGTGCTAACCCGGCCTTTAGGAGATTTCAATTAATGCCCTTATATACTAATGATTAAGTGATATTTAATATATGAAAGTCTCCCAATTTTGCTAATATGTTTATTATATTGCTCCATTCTTTGGGAAGAAGATTTCACTAAACATTACTGATTAGTTCAACAGTTATGCCTAGAGTATTTCATTTGAAGAAATTTATTTCAAAGCTCTATTGAAAAGAATATCGGACTCTTAGGATCACCTGGGTGGTGTAGTCGGTTAAGTGTCTGGCTCTTGATTTTGGCCCAGGTCATGAGGTCAGGGTCCTGGGATTGAGCTCCTTATCGGGCTCTGTGCACAGCAGGGAGTCTTAAAGATTTCTCTCCCTCTCTCTCTGCCCCTTCCTCCATCCACTCTCTCATT